TACTAGGTTGGAGGCCATCGCTATTGTGTGGAGGCCATCGCAAGTAGGTTGGAGGCCATCGCTACTAGTAACAAGAAGCTATATACTAGGTTGCAGGCCATCGCAATATTTGATGTTAAATGTTCTACCGTGAAGACTCACCTCTTGGAGTTTGAGGCAAGCAGTGCTTTGCACAAGCAATGCGGAAGGTCTATGTCATTGTGTGAATCAACCGGTTTTGCACCGACGACATCCCAAACAGCTGAGAAATCTGTGCCACAGGCATGCACAGGCCATGTGCACTAAAACCACATAAAAACAGATTTCTGATTTCGAGCGCACGAAGCACACACTTTTTACTCAATGTTTAGATCTCAGGCGCCTTCACGTGAAGCAGCTGGAGCTGGACGAGGTGAACATCAAGGTTTGCCTCAAATGGGCCCCTTGGTGAATCACTGAATCGGAAGGAATGTACTGCACCTGATTGTACCTGTTTCATCCTGTTTCCTTTTTCTTCTGTGTGTGCTCCAAACCCGAAGCACAAGGAATAGAAAAGTCGAAATAGTTATTGCTGGGGATGTTCTCAGTTTCCACACCATCTCACTAAAACGATACCAACAAATATCAATGATCAATGGTTTCCAATGATGGAGTTTTACAATGATGTGCATATGAATCATCTGAAACGAGTTGTTTCACATGAAGGACAATGAACCGTTTACTCCCTACGCGGGCCGGACTGTGTGGTGCTTCCTGCCGGTCACAAGGTGCGCTTTGTCTTGTACTACTACTGCGGTGGCATCCAGGCCATGAGCCTTGGCGATGTCATGCGGGTCCGGCTTTCCAGGCCCGGGAGGGCGGAATGGGCGCGTTTGGGGCCCAAAGAACGAGCAGCTTGGCCCACCTAAAGTCAAGAACTAAGTGATTGAGGTGCAGTGCATATCAGTGCATGTGTTTCTAGAGTGTTAGTCCAGTTGTTTTTGGTGCATGTCCTTATTTGATGATACGGCTTTGAGCCTGCACATGCTGGAAAACAAAGCCATGCATTGAATCATTGGCTCTTTCTCAAGCTGGCTGAACCTGATGGATGGCAATGGAGATAGGTAGAGACAAAGATCTCAAAGCTTGCGAAGAATGACCCCTTTGTGGTTCCTTGATCCCATCAACCACTGCCACCTGTCGTCCAGGCCCTCGCAGTACCTCATCAAGGCTGAGGTGTCAACAGAAAGTGGACAACCGGGAAACTATATTGAGGAATCATGCAACAAATCACGTTCATGCCCACAAGGCATTCTGACTATGCTTATATATATTTTTTTACACATACTATAACCCGGTGTTCCGGTTATAAGCTTCGCGGTGGCTGTCAATCATTGTCGCGGATTTTTGTTGTTTGCCAACTTTGTTGGAACGATTCCACTGATACTATGAGAGCCAGTTGAGCGATGCGCAACTGTCCAGATGGCGGCTTTGGAGATCACGGATTCCGAGGAGGGTCACGAGGCTTCCCATGGGTATGAATGGTTACGATGTTCGAAACAGCGCGTGCCCTGTCATATAACCATGAGGCACTTTGAGTCTTAGCTTAGGTTCATTGGACCTTTTCCGGATTCAAAAAGTAGTCGCATTTGGGTTGGTGCCTTTCCGCAAGGATGATGTATATTGCCAGGTAGTCAGATAGGTGATAGCACGCCCCAGATTTTTGCCGGGTCCTTGATTTGACCTCGGGTGGCCTGTTTTGACCCAAACCAGGAGCAGGACTTGGAGCTTCATCAGTCACTGGAGGCGTGCAAACGCGGACATATGCGGACATAGCTTGGAAGAATTGAAGGCTTTGAGGTCTCGGAGCCTGAGGATATTCATCTCTTGCGGACGACTTCAAGAGATCCAATAAATAGGTCAAGACAACTCAACACTGTCAAGAATCCAGTTGAATGCTGTTGGGACACCGTTTTTTGTATATATGTTGTCAGTGGTTGAAACACAAGCTTTGAGGCTTAGGGCCCGGTCTTGCTCGCAGGTGATACACCGGACCGTTGATGAAGACGCACTCATGCGTGTGGAGCAAGGCAAGTCGCATTGAACCATCAGCAGTTTTCGTAAGTCACATCGCACAAGGCATTGGCATTCAGTTTTGCATGGGATGATTGTGGGATGATGAGCAGACTGTAAAATTGATAGTTACAACTGGTATTGGCGGTGTTGGCACCTCAGATGAGCTGGTGACCAACTTGGTGGGTTGGTCGCCAGTCACTGCATGTCACTGCAAATCAGAAACATACGCAGAGACATGATGACATTGTACAGAGAAATGTGTGGCCCGTGGAGGCCTTGACCTGGCCCTTGCGCGGGGTCTTTCTTTGGAGCCTACTGACCTTGCACTGGAACGTCTTGAGCGAGGACCGACTTTTCTGAAAGGAGTTGAGAGTTGTTGAAAGTTGAGAGGCTCCTCAAGTTTATGTCTATGTAGGAGTTGATTTTTTTGGTGTATTTGATTGCTGGTCAGAATCAGACACTGGACTCACCTGCAGCATCGCACACGCGCTATGCAACACCCAACGCCAACCTAGGCAGCAGCGTTCAGTCAGTGGATATGTTGTCATCAACAGTCATCACCTTGCTTGAGCTACATTGGCAGACCCTCAGACCATCTCAGACCCTACTTCACTAAGTCCACGAACGCTGGTCACACTCATTCACCCACATTCATTTGGGTCATGCGATGGCTATGGCTGCACATTACGCTCTCCTTGGCCTGCCCGGACGATGCGCTGGAGAAAGCCTTGGCCGAGCCAGCACAATGGATGGGTGCCTGGCCCAACAGCCCAACCGGGTGAGATGCAGTAAACTGAGACTTACATCTACAGCTTTCTCCTTGTGCCCAGGTATTCTATCAAATCTTGGATGCCTAGAAGACCGCAGGATGCTCGATCTGACCGTGGTTGGCACTCATGATGCCGCAGCTTATTGGCTACTTGCTCAAATTAGACTCGAGCTACTTGCTCTAATTTGACGCGATATGTGCAGCCTTGGAGCTTGGATGACGTTTGGCAGCCCCAGGGCTGCACAGTAGATGCCACAGGTTCTAGAACTATGCTAACCCTAGCGGCCCTAGCGATAGAAAAGATGATAAAAGAGGTCTCGAGGCCTCCTCTCTACCTCATGATGCACGTCATGGCACGTCACGCTGTTCGGCCACCATGGTTCTCCAAAGTCCTCCAGGTTGAGCGACAGAGCTGCGCAATGTGGCCCTCGGTGCCACGCTTGCCAACTCGCTCCCATCAGCAGCCGACAATGGGGTTTGGCTCAAGGAGGTCAGCGTGGCACTTCAGCGGGTATTGGTTCCATCGTTAGTAGAGTTGCTGGTGAAAGGAGACCTTCACCTCTTGAACCAGTTGCTGTTGTACTCGCGACTCGCTATCTATTGGTTGTATGTCCTTTGCTGGACTTGCCTTGGGCAGATTGGGCATGAGCAGGATGTAATTACCGCCCTCCCCTGCCATTCAACTGTCATTGTGTCACAGGTTCACTTTTGGAGCAGCTGCGCTCCGGCGTGAGACCCTCGGCTGAATTTTTGGGCTCAGGTGTGGCAGCTCAAGGCGGGTAGAGTTTCTTTGGAGCAAATGATCTGCTAAATGGATCAGCGGCCGACTGGTGAGAGGAGGTTGGTTTTGAATGGCTTTGGCCTGTATTCCCTGTGGTGGAAGGCTTGGCCCCTGACTTGCTTCCTTCAGACCAGGACCAGGAGCAGACACAGACATAGAAGCTAAACGCGCAGTTGTTGTTGCGGACCCTGAGGGCAATGGTGTATTGAAGGTGCTGGGGTGGTATTCGTTTATATAGTAGGCAACTGCCGTGATATGCCGTGATGTATATAGTTTACAAATTTAGTTTTTGTAGTTCAAGTCACTATAACAGTCCTGGATCGTGTTGGGTGCATATTGTCAAGAGTCAAAACTTGCATGCAACTGCTGATGCGCTGCCAGCAGGCAGGATGGTGTCCTGTACCTAGGATACTTCGATTTGCGCTTGACCGTGGATGGTTGGAAAAAAGGCTGCAACGATGCTGCTACGGTGTCCGGCCAGTGCTGGAAGGACGGGCGTGTGGTCAGTGATCAACTCTGAATTAGAGGAAGCATGAAGGAGATCGCTCACCTAATTCCGCAATCATGCTTTGCCATACCTGCTAGACAGTGCTCACCAATGACATCCCGATGACTCATATGACCGTCACAGCACGACAGCAGCTGTGTCGAGCAAACTTTGTAAGGCATCGTTGTGGCTGGGGGAAGGCAATTTTGGCTCGCCGTGGGCAGGCTCATCACTGCCTTTTGGGACCGTCTTTGTCGACCTTGTCCTCAGACATACAGAGCTTCCTCAAGGAGGATGTGCTCCAGCGCGAAGTTGTGACACTTGGTTGGGTTGTAGATTTCCCCCCCCTGTGGTGGTTGTTGCTGTGCTTGTTGTTGAAGGCAGCAGGTCGTGATCCTGGGGCTACACCATCACTGAAACAAAGAACGTGTGGTTTTGACATGTTTTCACTACATTGTTGCTGTTTTATATTTTATATGCTGTATGCCTGCCATGCACACGGCAGCTTGGGTGTTCCACGCTGTAAGGATTTTGCGGCTGAAGCTCGAACACTTCAAATCCAAGCTTTGGGCTAAAGGGCCAAGCCATGATGTGACGATGGCCAGGCTAGAGGCTCTAAGGTCATTACTGGAACAGGAGCTCCGGCCTTATATGCAGCTTGTCCAGCGGTTTGCGGCAATTCATCCTGAGGCGTTTTGTTTTGATCCCCCTTGAGAGCTCATTTCCAAATCCAGAACACAGAAAAGAGCCTTCCAAAACTTCTTGTCCAATACGAAACGAAGTGTTGTAGAACAACATTTGGTGCCTGCAAAGAAAGCTGCGAGCCGTGTCATCCAGTGCATTAAATTCGAGATTTTTATAGAACACTTTCTATATGCACTCCAAAGAGTCCAGAGGAGTCTGGAACCTATCCACAGATGCCAAGGTCTGAAGATGACCAATGGTGGCACAAGCCACTGAAAGACATTCAAATGTCACAGCAGCGGCTCGTGGTCTTAGTGCAGACCAGCTACAAAGACTGGACAGGGAGGTGCTTCCTGATGTTTCGCCTTCGGGGTCTAGTAGCGTCCTTGTTCCTAGTAAGGCCAGGAGCCCCTAGTAGCGTCCTTGCTCCTAGTAGCCCCCCCAAGACACTCATGGCCATCATAGGCACTCATGGTCGAGATTGCGTCCTTGTTCCTAGAAGCGATGCCAGGAGCCCCTAGTAGCGTCCTTGCTCCTAGTACCCCCAAGGCACTCATGGTCGAGATTGCGTCCTTGCTTCTAGTAGCGATGCCAGGAGCCCCTCGTAGCTTCTTGTTCCTAGTAGCCCCCCAAGGCACTCATGGCCATCATAGGCACTCATGGTCGAGATTGCGTCCTTGTTCTTAGTAGCGATGCCAGGAGCCCCTAGTAGCTTCTTGTTCCTAGTAAGGCCAGGAGCCCCTAGTAGCGTCCTTGCTCCTAGTGTCCCAAGGCACTCATGGCCATCATAGGCACTCATGGTCGAGATTGCGTCCTTGCTCCTA